TCTGTGCTATCTTGTAGGTCATAACTAACAAGCCACCTGCATTATCTTGCTAATGTGTGAATGGTTGCCCAGAGTCATAACTCCTCAGCTGCTGTGTTTCTTTACTATTAGAGATGTCACAACCTCATCAATCATTGAGACCTCATTTGTGACCATTGGCATAGGAAAGTCTGTCTCTGTACACCAGCAAAAGGTCAGTTAGCAAGTCATGTGTAGGCCTTGGAGTGACTCATCATTTTAATAAATAGCCAAATTCATAAGCCAAATAAATAATGTCTAAAGCCTGCCAAATATGGTTTCAAGCTGTTCTCCTTCAGTCAGTGGTACCCAGCCTTTTGGCACCAGGGACTGGTTTTGTGGAAGACAATTTTCCATGGACTGGGGTGGAAGCAAGATATGATACGGTTTGGGGATCAAATTCTCCTAAGGAGCACTCAGCATGGGTCCCTCATGTGCACAGTTGACGTTAGGGTTTGCACTCCTGTGAAGATCTAATGCTGCTGCTAATGAGAAGCTGTGCATGTAGATGAGCCTCTGCTCACTCATCCACCACTGACCTGATGTACAACCAGTTCCTAGCAAGCCACTGCACTGCTCGTCCGGGACCTGGACTCCAGGGACCTCAATGTACATGAACTGTGGTCTTTTGTCACCTAAGAACTTCTAGGCGTTCTAGGAAGTTACATCTGCACTATGGACACAGTGATGAACTGCCACCACATTTCTCACACAGCAGATTTAAAGCCTTGCTGTGTTACTGCAAAAGGGCAAACATTGTTGGTTTGCAGTTTCTGTTAAATTCTCTTTGTGCACCATGAAAGTCAAAGGGAGAAATGGAAAAATCTCCATTGTTAAAGCACTCACTGAATCTGAACTAACAGTACAGTCATGTCCCAAATCGGAGAGCCCACTGGCTATGAGCAGAGCTGGGGTCTGCAAGTGCAGAACAGTGCTGTTTCTCAAGCACACTTTGAAAGCCACCCTAATGCTAGGCTGAGCCACTCACCTTGGGCTCTCCAGGTTTTGGTTTTGTCCACGTTCTGTGCTGTGCAAGGCCCCTGAGAGCCCTGGGCCAAGAATATCGATGATCAGCAGCCCAGAATGTCCCCAGCTGAACTGACTAGGGCGAGCCAGACCCTGGCTCCGCCTCCCTGGACCAGAAAAGCATGTAGTCTTTCATTTGCTTTATTGTCGACTGTTGGTGGGAGCCCTGGTCCTACACATTTCTCCCGCTGCTGCTGAGAACTGCATTAAAGGTAGATGTCGAAAGATGAAGTTTCACAGTGGAGAAATGTCTTAATCTCTGTGATATTTGTGTCAAGTTTTAAAGGATGTGATACTGTCCAAGAAATTTGCAAACCTAAGTAGAGATTATTTTATATGGTTTAACATTCTTTAAAGCATATGTCAATACAAGGACTTTTGGGGCCGGGAATTTAGGTCAGCGGTTCAGTGGCCTGCCTTGCAAGCTCAAGGACCCAAGTTCAATCCCTGGTACCAAAAAAACAAAACAAAAAATACAAGGACTTTTGAGCAAAGAATTACAGTGATACTGGACACCGGTGCCTGTGCAGAGGAGAAGGGAATGATGTTCTCCTTCATTTTATCGCAGCAGGAGTCCTCAAACTGTGCTTGGTCCAGGACTCAAGTCTAACCCACTGCTTTGTTTTTGAAGAATAAATTTTATTGGATCACAAACGTGCCTCTGTATTTCCCTCCCCTTGATGACTGCTTTCCTACTGCAAAGATGAAGTGGAGTATAAATGACAAAGCCTTTGTGTCCCTGCAGGCATGAAAAGAACTTCCCTCCCCTCTGCCCCCTCAAGGTTGGAGTAGTTCAGTCTGCTGGAATAAGCTGATCCTAAGCAGATTCACAGGAAGAGGTGTACCAGTCCACTAACGTGTGCATGGGAACCACATTGGATCAGACTCTGAGAAGGGCAGATGGCTGAAGCTCAGATGCCCTCTGAGGGGAGAGGGAAGTGGAGATGCAGGGGGGTTCACAGTTATTTCTAGTGGGGGGATAAATGGGAAGAAATAGACAACAGCCTAGGCCAAAACTCTCTGAACTTCATGTGGTATTTGGTTTTCTGTCTCTTCTGCTGTGATATGAGTTTAATCTTCCTGAGTTAATGAAATTTCTATAAGAAGATTAAAAGCCATTGTGTTTCTCTTTGGTGGATCCAGTCTTCATGTAGATAAGGGAAGATCAGAGGAAGCCCTTCCATACATTTCAGGAAAGAAAAGAGGATTATTGAGAGGGAGATGGGAAGGTCAGAGAGACTTTGAGCCCACTTCTTTAGTTCGCATATGAAAACACCATACTTTGGGGTATCATTTTGCAAACCACGTACCTAAAAGCTGGTGAGGTTTGCCAACCTCCAGATTAGAGTGTAGTCTTCAGATTTGACTCATTACAGCTTTTAGGGCTGTGAGCAAGTTAATTCCTCTAAACATTAGGCTCCTCATTAATGAAGCGCAGGATACTGAAGATTAAACATTTAAAATAGTAACATATGTAAAGTTCTGTCCTTGCCTCTAGGCCCTACATATAATATGGGCAGGCTTGTTATAGAGCACAGTGCCTGACACATAGAAAGTACTCTGTAAACTTGATACACAAAATAGCTAGTTATTTGAGTTGTTATCTTCGTTATTGTCATTTCATAACCCTGAAATGTGAATTCCTGGGTTCTCCTGTCTGCTGATGTATGGCCTAATTGGGCAAATCGGTTAACCTTCCTCTTCTCCAGTGTGTTCTCACGTTAAACGTTAATGTGACCCATGGGGTTGTGAGGACATACTGAGGTCAAAGATAGAAGCACGTGGGTCATAAACAGTGCTGGTTCTTGGTGATGCTTCTTTACATAGGTGAGAGAGGAAGTGAATGGGTGTTGGAGACACACGTGTCTGCAAGGTACATTCTCCCTGCATTTTTGGGGTGTTTGTCCAGATGTCAGTGAGTCCATGTTAAGACCTCAGCCTCCTCTTTGGATTGATTTATTTCTCCATGTAACGTCAGACTATAACATATCAAGTGTTTTCTTTACTTGTTTATTAACTATTTCGTCCCACCTAATTACTCCTCCAGGATAAAGATTATAGTCTTGCTCACTGGTAAGGTTCTTGATGTCGGAAATGGTGTTAGTACATAGCGGATGCTTATCAAATACCTGGTGAATGAAAGATGGAGCCCAGAGGACCTCAATAGGGCCCCAGAAGCATCCTGCTCGTGGTGGTGGGGATCAGGCTAGGGCTGGATGAATAGATAACAAGCAGCCTGGTGAACAGGAGCATCCATTGTATCGAGCAGTGTGTGGTAACCAAAGATTTGTAGGGAAGCTGCTACCTTTAAGATTGAATGTGGGAAGCTGGGCGTGGTGGCGTAGGCTTGTAATCCCGGCATGCTGTGAGTTCGAGACCACCCTGGGCTACATAGTGAGTTCTAGGTGAGTCTGAACTACATAGTGAGATCCTGTCTCAAAAAACCCCAAACAAACAAACAAACAAATAAATAAAATAAGATTGAATGTGGGAGTAGTTGTGGAAGAGGTTTGAGGTTTGTTGTTTCTGGGGTTTGCATTGGGGACTTTGTTCTGGCATCTGCAATTACGGTCCCTGTGGTATCAAATCCAGTTCTTGGGGTGGAGGCTGGGAACACGGGTCTCCATAGCTCAGGTCATCATCCCCAGTGGTGAATAGTGTGGGGACTCACTGTAGCCGAACAATGGACCCAAGAGCTTTGCAGAGCTAGACCAACCACCTTGTAGAACATGGAGAGGGAAATGGAGCTCTGCCTGTTCTCAGGGGCTGCAAGTAAAAAACCTGAAGGGTTCTCTCTTATTTTCTACTCTTCATACCAGGGCACACACATTTAGAAGGAACAGACTGTGCAGAGATGTTCTTTCAAAGGAGATGTATTTAGAGATAAGAATATTTGGTTGTTTCCTTTTACAAGATCAACTTGATTCGTTAGATTGCAGTTCTTTGAGAGCCAGCTTGTGTTTTACTCTTCATTATACTTTTAGGTTCTAGAATATTGCATGAGAAAGAATAAACAAATAATTGAACAAGCACATAGACTGTGTTTATTTTGATCTTCTGATAGTGTTAGCTTCTGGCTAATGAAGGACTGCTTTATGCAAGCTTCCTTCATTCTTAAGACATTCTACAGTAATTAGTAGTTAACTTCATTTGAAAGTAGCATATTTTGACTAAAATGAACCCAACAATTCTGGGTACAAGCTAAGTTTATGTTGTTTGCACCTGCTCGGCAGGTGGGAAGCTTCTGTCTGGGTGCGTCATCGGGCTGGTGTGAGGGTCTCTATCCCCCCAAGATAGAGCTCTTAGGTATGTGATACCAGTGTTCTCAGATAGTGTGTGAGCTCTGTGCCTGTCAGGAAAGCTGGACCAAACCGTCTCAGTACAGCTTGTCTGTGATAAGCTCACAGCTGTGCAGCACAGGGATTGGCTTCGGGGTGGATTTTCCAAAGGAGAAGGCCTTTGGATGGACAGGGTGGGAGACCTAGACTATAGCCCTTCCCTGGAAACAGATCAGTGCTCTTGGTGACCAACACCCTGCCTAGAACCTGATAGTGAACCTCAGAGAATGTCGCTTACCCAGCTGGGAAGGGATCCCCTGTAGCATAGGACTCCGGATTTGGGCTCATGGTGCCAGAAGCTGGTATACAGTGCCATGACCATGTCCAGGCCAGAGAACCCATTTAGCACTGAGGAACATACATGTGAACCTCTGATGCTTGCCATACGGAAATTCAGGGAACTTGAGCTACAACATGAGCCTGTCACTAAGGCCGGAGAACTGGCAAACATTCTAGTGAGAGCCTTTGGAGCACAGGAGTAGAAATGCCATATTGAGGGGATTTTCTCTTTGCTTCCGTGGCATGGGGGACGCTTCATTAGAAAGTGAGTTCTCTGGGCTTGAAAGCTTGGGAGTCTTCTACACCTCACAGTAATGCTGCCCTCTGCCTGTTTTCCAGCATGGGCTACTGCATCCTCTTTGTACACGGACTGAGCAGGCTCTACACGTGGCTGAACCGCTGTGGAGCCACCACCCTGACCGCATCCACCGTGCTGCTGCTGCTGCTGTTCTCTTGGAAAACTGTGAGGCAGAATGAAATCTGGCTGTCCAGGGAGGCCCTGTTCAGGTGTGAGCGGATGGGTGCAGGGGTGTCTCTTCCCATTTGTCTCTTTCCTACAGTTTTGTTTCCACACAAATGAGGTAGCGAGGGTCTGGTGGTGTTTATTAATCCTGAAAATGACTTTCAGTAAAGTTCTAAATGAAAGATATAACTTTATTTTGAGTTTTAACTTTGGATGTTGTAAGTAATATTATATAAAACTTAATGTGAGCTTGTTGTGAGTGAATTTATGGAAATTAGACTCACGGGAAAGCTTTTAGGTCTGTGAATTCAGATGGAAACAGTCCTGATGATGAGTGGGGCTGTAAAATCAGCCATAAACAAAATGAAAGCAATGAGTCTAATTCGCTGCTCAGTCAAGTAGACGGTAAAGGTGAGCACACAAGAGGCAGGAAGGGAACTGGGGTCTGTTTAGCATATGCTGCTGTGTGAAGTTGTGATCTGATCTGATTGCTCTGTTTTGAACATTAATTTTGAGTAAGGAAATGAGAGACTTTTCAGGTTCTCCTAGATTTCTGTCATGTTTCTGAGTGTGACAGTGTCAGCCTAGACCCCCGAGCCTGTCCTGAGTATGAATGTTCTCTGTGGCTGCAGCTCATTCTGCTGCACCCAGGGCTGCTCTGTCCCGTGGAGCCATGGTGGCAGAGACCTTCACTTGGCTCTTGGCATGGCCATAGTTATGCCTTGAGAGCATTTGCCCATCTCCCCGGAATCCCAGGCTCTGTTCTCTTCCGCTCCTGCCCTCAGTTGTGGCCTCTGGGAAACTTTCGAGAGCATGGTGTTTCCTCAGTTTCCCCGCTCAGCTGGTGCCCAGCACTTACTCTTTGAGAGCAAAGAACTGAAACAGTTGAGACCACATAAGAGGAAGGGAAACTACTGGAAAATTGGAGGAAAGCATGCAGAACTGAGGGCGAGGTCAGGAGCTGAGCTCAAGAGCTGAGCCCAGTGGAGCAAGGTCAGGGCAGTCTGTCTGTGCTCAGCGCACTCATATCATCCTGAAGGAGGGAGTGCATTCTGCTTTCACATCAGAGTCTGGGGGAGGGAGAATCTTCGGCCCAGCGTAACCGTGATCACCAAGGCTGGGTCTCTCCAAAGAGGCCTCCGCCTTTCATGGACGGAATCAACCTGATGAGCACCTTGCACTCCCTCCAGGACTGCACCAACTGAGGCACAGTGCTGGGAGACGGGGCAGCAGATGGATCTGTGTGAGAATGAACCAGCAAATGAACAGGACAGATATCCACTACACTCTTATTAATTTAAAATAGTGTATCTCACTTTGCTACTTTGGCAATTTAACTTCCTTAAAATTTAAAAGATTAGCTTGGCATGTCCATGCAGTTATTTTATCTTTTAGTACTACCTTATCGTCATTGTTATCACCAGTGTTGCAAAGTAAGTCTTTCTTTTTTTGTTGGTGGTGGTGCTGGGAATGTAACAAAGGGCCTTGTGCATGCTAGGAAAGTGCTCTGTCATTTAACTACACCCTGGCTGCTTTCTTTTCCTGTGATTTTTGATCCATATGACCTGCAGAATGACTCTGAGGCCTCAGAGTCTATCCAGTCTGGGATGCAGCCCTCAGCATTCAGCACCATCCTCAGAACACAATGGAACCCGCCCCTCAAGGTTGTTCTATAAACACAGGGTTATTCAAGTTCAGTTCAGTAATAGAACTTCCTCCTGGTCTCTGCTGACTTAATTTTCTCTCTTTTATTTTCAGTAATGATGCTTTTGTAAAGAACTGAAATAGTTCTTCCTGTCTTGAATCCTGCCTGGGTGAGGTACTAGCAGTGACGGTATCTTCCAGTGATGTTTAATGCTTCATCAGAGCAACTTCAGGGAGAGTTTGGCCTCAGCAGTTTATCTCAGGGACAGTATGTTAGGGTTCAAACTGCCTACAGCAATCTTAACAAAGAAAAACCAAAGCAAAGAACACTGACTGCACTCCAGAAGCCCCTGTTCGGCAGGATGGAAGTTTGTAGGAAGCAGACAGTTGACAAGTAAAACTGAGCCATTCCACATACGTGTTTAGAGGGTGCAGGGCTGAAAGGCCTTTAGTGGTCAAATGCAATTTTATGTCATGGACAAAGCTGTTGTTATATTTCAGTAAATTTTGCTTATCTAAGTCCTGATACAACTCTTAGGATTCTAAGACCTTAAGATTATTCTTTTTTCTTGAAGGTCAATTGTTTGTGTGGATTTGCTACAAGGAGTCAAATATTGCTGGTAATCTGTGCAGCAGGATAGGGTTGGAGCCAAGTGTGAGATCAGGAGTTTGACTTTCTGGCTCTGCTCCAAACCATTAAATAGTTGTGTGATCTCAAGCAAGCTACTTAACCACTCTGCCTATTTTCTTCACTTAAAAATTTAGAATAACAGTGTTCATCTTCAGAGTACAGTGTAAGAAAGAAATGGTAACAGATGCCTAAGATGGCATCTGGCATGTGGTAAACACATGTAAGGTTCTAGATGTGAGGGCAGAGAGGGGTCCATAGCACAGCTGACAGTCTGTGTGGGAGTCACGTACATGAGAATGCAGTATTTCAGGCAAATACACCGTTCTGTTAGACATAGAGCATTGTATGAGTGGAAATAGGTGACTGAGACCAGTGGAGGCGGGCAGGGCCCATTCTGTTGTACAAGCTGAGTATTCAAGGACAAGAAACACCTAAGTGAGCCTTAATGGCCACACCCAGGAACTAGCTGAAAGAAATAAGAAACAATTACAGTACTTCCAGACTCAGCAGTGCTCTTGAGGAGGCCCAGGTTCTGTGTTCCAGACAGTATATCTGTCTTCCATGTGTAGGACACGTAGCCTCACTGAGGCCTCTCTGATTGTGTGAGATAGTTTTGCTCAGCAACACTAAGATCAATCTTAAGACAGACCTTTGTTTTAGAGAAAACACAGGTAGTGGCCAAGCTCCACGCTTCCAGCCAAGGACTCATCTCTCCTGAGTGATCACAGTGTGTGGCGCGTTTCTAGGAGACACAGATGCAGCACCCTGCATAGCTTTGTCCTGTTGTTGGCTGATAGCTTACACACAGAAGTACAGGAACCCAGCATGGCATTTCCTCAGACGTGGAGGAGGTTAAGTTTGTGCAAGCTGAAACAGCTGTTAGAAAGAGCTAGGATTTGTGGTAAAAGGCCCAACAAAGATAAACTTGGCCACATCTTTTTTTAAAATTCAACACTCATTCATGATAAAAACTGCAAAAAATTGGAATAGATGGTCTGTGTCTCAACTTAATAAAGGCTATCTATGAAAAACCAACAGCCAACATCATATTAAATGGCCAAAAACTGAAAACCTTCACGTTAAAATCAGGAAAAAGGCAAGGATGCCCACTAGGATGCAATAAAGATAGGAAAGGAAGAAGTTAAATTGTCATTATTTACTGATGATGTGATACTCTACATTGAAGACCCAAAAAACTCCACCAAAAGACTTCTCAACTTAATTGACACTTTTAGCAGAGTAGGTGGATACAAGGTCAATGCCCAAAAATCAATAGCTTTCTTGTACACAAATAACAGACTCACTGAATGAGAAATTAGAGAAACAATTTCACAATAGCACCCAAAAAAATGAAGTATCTGGGAATCAATCTAACAAAAGAAGCAAAAGACCTCTACACTGAAAACTACAGCACTCTGAAAAAAGAGATCGAGGAGGATATAAGAAAATGGAAAGATTTCCCCCATTCCTGGGTAGGAAGAATCAACATGGTGAAAATGACCATACTACCAAACTGCTATACAGATTCAATGCAATACCAATTGAAATCCCAACACTATACTTCACAGAACTAGAAAGAAGAATCCAAAAATTCATTTGGAACCATAAGAGACCTAGAATAGCAAAAGCCATCCTAGGCAACAGACACATGGCAGCGGGTATAACAATTCCCAATTTGAAACTATACTACAAAGCCACTGTGATAAAAATAGCATGGTACTGGCAAAGAAGCAGACCCGAGGATCAGTGGAACAGATTGGAAAACACAAAAACAACTCCAGATGCACTCAGCTACCTCATCTTTGACAAAGGAGCTGACAGTCCGCACTAGGGGAAAGATAGCCTCTTTAATAAATGGTGTTGGAAAAACTGTATTTCAACCTGTAAAAGATTAAAACTAGACCATTATCTGTCACCATGCACTAAATTAAAATCCAAGTGGATTAAAGATCTAAATATAAAAACAAAAACACTAAACTTGCTAGAAGATAAGTTAGGCAGAACTCTGAAAGACATTGGCATAGGAAAAGACTTTATGAACAAATCCTCAGTAGCACGGGAACTAGCAGAAAGAATCAACAACTGGGATCTCATCTTATTAAAAAGCTTCTGTACTTCAAAAGAAACCATCAACAGAACTATGAGACAACCTACAATGTGGGAAAAACTTTTTACCAGCTGCTCCTCAGACAAAGGACTACTATCTAGAATATATAAATAACTCAAAACAACCAGCAACCCCCAAATATAAAGACCCAATTCAAAAATGGGCATCTGAAATGAACAGACATTTCTCAGACAAAGAAATAAAAGCAGCAAGTAAATATATGAAAAAATGTTCCACATCACTGGTCATTCGAGTGATGCAGGTGAAAACAACACTGAGATTTCACCTCACCCCACCAATAATGGCTGCTATCAAGAAATCACACAATAGCAAATGTTGGCGAGGTTGTGGAGGGGAAGGAACCCTTCTCCATTGTTGGTGGGAGTGCAGACTGGTGCAACCACTATGTAAGTCAATATGGAGATACCTCAAAGAACTAGGATTAGAGGTTCTATTTGACCCAGCCATCCCTCTATTGAGTATCTTTCCAAAAGAATTAAAAGAATCATACTACAGTGATAAATGTGCACCCATGTTTATAGCAGCACCATTTGCCCATCAGTTGGAAACTGGATAAAGAAGATCTGGTTTTTCTATAAAATGGAATACTACTCAGCCATAACGAATGAGAAAGTAGATTCATTCATAAGTAAATGCATACA